TCTCCGTCTCCGTCTCCGTCTCCGTCTCCGTCTCCGTCTCCGTCTCTCTCTCTCTCTCTCGCTCTCTCTCTCTCTCTCTGACAGACAAACAGACAGACAGTCTGTCTGTCCGTCTGTTCGTCCGTCCGTCCGTCCGTCGGTCCGTCTGTCCGTCCGTCCGTCCGTCTGTCTGTATGTATGTATGTATTTGTGTATTTGTGTGTATTTGTGTGTATCTGTGTGTATTTGTGTGTATTTGTGTGTACTTGACTGTCTTCGTCTGTCTTTGTCTGTCTTTGTTTGTCTGTCTGTCTGTCTGTCTGTCTGTATGTATGTATGTATGTATGTGTGTGTCTGTTTTTATGTATGTATGTCTGTCTGTATGTCCGTATGTATGTATGTATGTATGTTCGTATGTATGTATGTATGTAGGTATGTAAATGTATGTATTTGTGTGTATGTTTGTATGTACGCACGTGTGTCCGTATGTATGTATGAATGTATGTGTGTATATGTTTGTGTGTGTATGTACGCGCGTGTGTGTGTGCGCGTGTGTAAGTGCAAGTGTAAGTGTAAGTATATGTATGTATGTACTTGAGTACGTAGGTATGTATGTTGGCTTGTATCCACATACCTTACGCCTTTGATTGCAATCACAGAAATCCACTCCAAAGTCTTAGGGCGGCAACACCGACGGTGTTCCAAGTGCGCATTCTCCCAGCCGGCTGGGAATCGTCCTGCAGTGCATTTCGCACTGGCAGGACTTTGTAACAAGTAGGTGGCCATTCCGCAAAGTGAAAGTAGGTTGAGCAGTGCCCCGTGGTTCAAACTAAGGTCACGCCACCTGGAGTGCTGAGGCGCTTGTGCCCAGCCCGAATTCGTTCCGTGCAACTTACGCGCAGCCCTTGGCCCTCAAACCGCCGGATCGAGCAGACAGCAGCTCGGCAGGTGAAATCAACCACGTTCGTACGTGTTCAACAACGACACAGAAAAGGAGCCCTGACATTCTCACAATACGGCGCGTTTTTGTAGTTGCTCGCGTTCACTTTACCACCTTTCGGGCCCAGTCTCGCTTTAAAGCGTCTTGGGTTGGCTGGAGGCATGGCTCAAGGGTGCGCTTGGAGCTAAGGCGCTCATCCAGCAATCCGACCAGCAATCCTCAAATTTCCAGGACGAGCCACAAACTAACTCACGAAGCTGGATTTGTTCAGGGCTTGCTGCACTATCTTGCAAGGGCAACACGTAGCATCGATAATGTCAAATGTTCATCATGAATTTCCGGACTTGAAAGATCTTGAAAGTTTCCTGTGACCTGTGGTTAACGTCGCAACTGTCATCAACCAAGCGAATCACGTGACTGGATGTTTCTCACCTTTCTCTCCTTCGTTTTTTAACGAGACTCAAATCACTTTTCATGCATCACGGTGATGGCAGGTTCTCCTGGCCAGGCTGTGGGGCTGCTCTACCAAACTAATGAGCAGACGTACCCCCAACCTGACTTGCGTTGCTTGCTCCATGTTTTTTCCACCACTAGGTTTTCAGGGAATCAAAACTGCCGCCCATCCGACAAAGCCCAAAAATAGACACGTTTTATTAGAAAAAGTAAAAACCAAATCTAGAAACAAAAAGAACTGGATATAGGAAAATTGAAAAAGTGGTGAAAGTGACAAGGAAAAAAGGACAGGATTCTAGGAATGGAAAGGAAAAGCAAAGAAGGACAAGGATCTAGGCTCTGGATCCGAATAAAATCGATATAGAAGGCAACAAGGCGTTCCTTTAGAATACACAAACAAAAAGAGGAAGGAAAAAAACAAGGTGAGCCCGCGGTCCCAAAAGCAAAAAGAAAGAGAACAGCCGGTTTTTCTATTTGCCTCCACCTTCCACACCGTCGCCCAGGCCGGTATCACTCCTCTCCATCTTCCATCCACACCCTCCCGGGTCACACCCCTCCATCTTCCATCCACAGCCCCGTCCACGCCCGTCCACCGGCCACCCTTCCGCGTCGCACCTGCCATCCCTTCCGCTGTCTTGACTCCACCCCGTCCACCCTCCACACCCCCTCCTCTGAAAAGTCACTTCTTGAAGTTCCGTGTGAGCCAGCACGATGATCCCAAAGGCCCACTTGAACGATAGTGTTCATGTTTTTGGCCACTCTTCACTTCAGTCAAGAACACCTTTATCCATGTGAGCGAACACGCCAAGATTGACCGAATCTTGGCTCAAGCCGCGTAACTCGAAGAGTCGTGGGAGCAGCGGAAAAGAAGCGCGTCGGGATTTCAAATCGAGAAGTGTACCAAAGTTTTCAGTCTCTTGGAGTTGGACATTCTACACAAGATCCATCTAGTTTTAGGTGTTGCATCTTCGCATGGTAGCGGAGCCGCTACGGCGGCCTAGGACTTTTGGGGAAGGTTTCAACTAGGATACTTGACTAGGATCTTCTTTACCTCTTGAGTCTTGCGCCATGGCCACTGGAGATGACTCTGGGAACTCAATCTCTGGAGGAACCTACTCTTTGTTTTCTGGAGCGTCAGTTGCCGAAGCTCAGCATCTTTTCGATATCACACCAGAAGAAGCTTCTCAGGCAACTGGGCGTGGACAGGGCTCGGAACAAACGCCTTCGTTTAGACCGGATGGTGGAAGTGCCCCAAGTTCACCACCAAGTGCACCTCCAGGGTTAGACCAAAGTAGTTCGACTGTAGCTCCTCCTCCAGCGGTTGACTTGCCTTCGTTTTTGAGCCAGTTAGCCGGAATGATGAACACCATGCAGCAGCAGAATCAAATTTTGAACCTTGTTCAACAATCTCAAGCTTTTTCGACATCAGGTTCACAAAACACTGCTGGAGCTGCATCAACTTCGACCGGAAACAACCAACGAACGCAACAAACTCCGATTCCGCCGCAGTCGACGTCATCGAATCGATCACTCAGTGACAAGTTGATGCCATCCATCCCAACCATTGATGCTTCCAAATGGACCACAAGACCCCACGAAGTTTTGGGTTTTCGTAAGTACTTGGAGGAAATAGTGAGTTGGCTCAGTTTGACCGATCCCAATTATCATGAGGAAGTCAAAGAAGCTTTAGGTTTTCGTCGGCCTTTGTTGCATTCAGAGATGAGCCAAGATCAGATCTTGCGTTCACAGAGGCTTTTCCATGCGATCAAGCAATCAGGAACTCCATCAGGCAATTCACGTTGGGATATTCTTATTCGGCTGTACGAAGCGGAGCATTCAGGCCAGCCCAACGGTTATGAGTTGATTCGCCGCCTTCGCTTGGAGTTGGGTCTCAAGACCCGGAATGAGTGTATCTATTTCAGGAATTTAGTTCTAGAATTTCGCTTTTTGGACAGTTGCCACCTACAAGACAACATTCGCAGGTTGGAAGCTGAAGTTTTCCGATTCAACCAGATGCTGGATACGTACATCGGAGACAAGAGCGGTATCCATGACATTTGTTTACAAGATTCGGATCTGTACCAACTGTTGATTAGTTGTTTGACTGGTGACGCAAAGCTCTATGTCCAATTGAACGCCCCGGAGACCTATGCCGGAGCGAAGCGTGCCTGTGGTGTTTTCTATGAGAAAACCGTCCTGAACAGTCAACACTTTGATATGTCTAAGGAACCTTTGTCTTTGAATGAATACCAAGCAGGTTCCGGAAAAGGCCATAAGTCAGACGTGATTTGTTTTCGGTGTGGCAAACGAGGTCACATCACGAGGGATTGCAGAGTCCGTCTTCCAGATGGTCAGAAAGGAAAAGGAAAAGGTCCAAATGTTTCAGGTGGAAAAGAGAAAGGAAAAGGAAAACAGGATGGAAAGTCAGATGGTAAGAGGTCCCGAACGCATTCCGAAGATAGCAGAAAGGGCGACAGTTCGTCCAAACACTCTCCAGATCGTAAGGGAAAGGGGAAAAAAGGGTAAATCCAAGGGTCCAAAAGGGAAACGAGCAGCCGAATATGTTGAGCAGGAATCTCAGCTCGATGAGGCTTGGTCTGAAACTGATCCGATGGAGCTCGATGAGGGACATGCCAAGTCGCGTTTAATGTTTGGTTGCCCAAGAATCCCCAGAGTTCGATTTGTGAGGGTTTGGACCATCGTCATTCCGCTAGTTTGCAGACTAACTGTCATCCAAGCGCGGCAGCTAGAGCGGTATCTTTTGATCCCGCAGTGCCTTCAGGAAGCAATGTTCCGTTGAAGCCTTCTCTTCGTTTAGAAGAAAAAGAGCCCAATCAGTTTTCCAGCTCGACATCTGATGTCGAGGATCTCATGGTAGATGCAGGGTTTTGGTTGTTGGATTCTGGTGCAAGTCGATCAGTCATCAACAAATCCTTTCTGCAATTTTACAAGATCTTGCGCCGTCGTTTGTTGGATGAACCGTTGACCTTCAGCACAGCAAGTGGTGAAGAAATGGTGGTCACTACTGAAGTGATCGTTGAAGCGCATTTTTGGGTTCAGGATGGGCCGCATGGACGTGCATCGAAACGGCCTTTCGAACTCAGGTGCTTGGTCTCGGAGGTCCAGCACAATTTACTATCCATGTTTCAGGTCTGCAGACAGGGCTTCAAGTGCGAGATGACAGAAGAGGGTTGTCGGGTCTCGTACGGTGATTTTCAGTTTGGGGTTGACATGTTTGGGAATGTTCCGTGGTTGACTGCGAGCATCCCATCAAGAAAACATAAGTTTTCAGGTGGTGAAGGTTTGAAGAACAAGGTAAGCCCACCACTTGCAGGGCCACCGGATGCTATGGAAGTTGATTCGCTCAAAGGCTATCGAGCCAAGTCGTGCTTGAAGCATTCGGCGAAGCATCAGATCGGTTGTGGCTTCTTGGAAGCTGTGTCATCGTTGTCAGAAACGCACGATCCAAAAGTCATCGATGTGTCTTCATGGATTGATTCCATTCCAAGGGATTCTGCATTTGGGTTTGATGGGTCCAAGATACCCCTATTTGTTTTCGAACATTTAGAGTCGTACGCCGAAGACGACGGTGGACACCCCGTGCCCGGCCCAGCTCTGGAGTGTGATGATGCCGACATGGATGTCCCACGTGACCGGCTGCAAGAGCGTTTGAACCGGCAGCTGTTCAAGCACCGTCTTGAAGGGCATTCCGTGTATGACCCTGAATGTGATGCATGCAGGGCAAGTCGGGGAGTTCACCACCATAGGAGGAAGCACCCAGATGGTTCATCGTTAGAAGTGTTCGCTGATTTTGCCTACCTGACCTGTTTTCCCGGAAGGTCAATCAAGGTCCTGTGTCTTGTTGAGCCCATCTCCCATGCAGCGGCGTATGTTGAATGCCACAAAAGTGAAGCCATCACTCGTGCTTCTGTTCAACAGTTTTTCCAATATGTTGGCCTCTCATCTCAGGTTGGAATGACCGTTTTGGTCAAGAGCGATGCGGAGGAAGCTGTTGCACGGCTTCTTCGGTTGTCCGTGGCCTGCAGAGTTGAGAAAGCGTCGCCCCAGAATCATGAGTCGGTAGGTCATGCCGAACAGTCCGTAAGAGCTATGAAAGAGCACCTATCTGTTTTGCGCTTAGAGCTGCAAAATGTTGGAGTTGATGTTCACCCCGATTCAATTGGTGAAGTCCTCAATTATTTAGCCTGGACTCAGAACCATTTTCGCCGACCTCGCGGGGGTGAAAAGTCAGCCAATGAATTGTTGAGTGGCCACGCAAGGTCAAAGCCACCATGTACTGTGTTTGGAGCCCTGTGTTTTGCAGAAGCGCCGGATTCGATTCGAACGCCAGCCGATAGTCGTTGGATCGTGGCAAGTTTCATAGGAGGACCCTGTGGTGAACAAGGCCAAATGGTCTATGGTTTTTGTCGTATGCCCAATGGGAACCTCGAGCTTCGAAAGTTTCGTGCAAGAACCGTTCGAGTGATGAACAAGATCGTTTTCGATGTTCGGCTGAATCCCGCTCTCACTCAGGCACCTGTCAGTCCACTACCACCTGCAGTCCGTCTAGAAGATGCACGACCTCTGCCCCTTCCGATTCGACCTTCGGGGCCTCCGGCCGATTGGGTCAAGGTCCATGATCGAGCCCCAGGCTGCAATGGATGTAGCCAGAAAAGTTTTGGGAAGAGACAGCATAATGCTGAATGTAAGCGTAGGTATAAGACCTGGGTTGAATCACAACAAGCTGAGATTGACAAAGCCGAACCAAGCACTCCTGTTGCGCCACCGTTTTCCGAGCATCCAAAGCATCCAACAGGACGTCGTCGGTTCGACTTTCAGCAACCACCGGTTGCGCCACCTGTCAGTGAAGACATGAATCCTGAGGGTAAGCGTCCTCGTGTTGAGGAAGACATGGAATACACACCAAGCTTGCCACCCAACAGTCCGAAAGCCGAAATGGAGGTTGATGAATCCAACCCAGATGTCATGGACACCTCCAAACTGACTTCAAAGTCTTGGACAAACGAACCAGAGATTGAAAGGTCTT